TATTGCGAAACAATTTGCGCTCATTACAGCTTTGGTTAAAAGTATTAAATATCTTATTAATCATACGAGTAATTTAATTTTTCAACTAAAAAATTAATTATGACACTACTATTGCTGCAATAATTATTAATTATCCTCTCTTACAAAAATTCTTTAAATTCTTACGTATAATATCGATCATGTTCGATAAAATAACTGTTACGACTTACTTAAAATAAAAAATATAATATAAGTTTTAGAAGCTTATTTAAAAGAAAATCGTAGGAATCGATAAAAAACTATTTATTTAAAATAAAAAATATTAAACAGATTGGGAGAAACTTATAATAATTATTTAATACACTAAATAAGAAATAAAGTGTAGTTATTTAAATTAGTAAATACTTAATGATTCTTTTGTATTTTTTATTTAAAATATATAACTTTTATTTGACCCTTAGTATACATTTTAGTTTTGGATACCCTTATTATAATGTTGGTTCATTCGTGTTTTGGATTAATTTTTATTACTTTTACAAGTATATAAAAAATATTATTCCCTTCGCTGCGCGATCGTTTGATATTTCTATTGCATATGAAAAATATTCACGGTTTATTTAATATAATTAATCGTATTTTACATGATTTTGACAACCGGGTATCGTTGTACATTTCACGCTTTGCTTTGTGGCATTATTAATTTAATCCTTTAATCGTAATTGGTAATTATTTACGTGTCTGAGATATTTTTGATGTTTCAATGCTACATTATATCTCAATTTTCATTATACTTTTAAATAATTCATACTTAAACAAAGGTTGATAATATTCTATACACCCTTTATATAAACGATTTTTACGTATATTTTCACATCTTTAGAAAGTATTTGTAAAATTTATAACAAATATTTATAATAAATTGTATATGTTCTTTATAATAATAAATCAGGTGCTGTTGATGAAAGTAAGTCGCTGAAATCGCTAAAATAAATCTATCAAATTAATAAAAACTTCAGCGATTTATCTCCAACAGGAGTATTGAAGAAAAATGGATATTACTGTGTAGTTTACATTCATTTCTTTAGTGAGCAGTTGTGCGCGGGGAAGGGCATTTTTGTGTTTATTTTAGAGCAGATACTCGGGCTTCCAGGAGAAATTATCATTAGGTATCGTCGAATTGATTATCATCGAAATTAATTAAATCTCAATGGCTCAAACACAGCAATTTGTATCTAATTGTATCTTCTGTAAAATTATTAGAAACGAGGAATCTGGTGAAAAAATTTATGAGGTACTAACCTCCAAAGGTTAGGAGACTAACCTCCAAATTATTTGTATTTGACAGATATAATTTGTACACATATAAATGTATCTAATATATATATGTGTGTGAGTGTATATAACATGCATAAACTTATGTTTTTGTTACTAGGATGAAGATGTCACATGCATTAAAGATATTAATCCAGTGTCTACACATCATTATTTAATAATACCGAATAAACATATACCCAATGCAAAAACACTTCAACCTGAAGATTCTGAACTTTGTAAGTATTATAGACTTATCTCTTTTAATGTATTTAAGTTGATTTTTATTAAATAATTATATAAATCGACAATATTGCTTTGTTTAATACCTTTTAGAACCATTGATCAAATATTTGTATTTGATATATACAAGTTGAATCAGCTTTTTACCATATAACAAACTAATTGACTACACACGTTATAATTCAATTAGATATGAAGTCGATAATTTTCTCATAGGGTAAAAAGTTGGTTTAATGACTCTGATTCACCCTGTATATGTATACTTATTCCAAAATATGTATGAAAGTTTTTCTATCTCTTAAGCCTATGATGCATTTTTTCCTGCAAGGTTGCTTATTACTGACATTCTTGCTAGCTGCTATACTGGAAATTGTATGGCTATGCCATGGTATGGCCTGCTGGTTACGCTGTTGATTGGTCTGTTAGATTTTCTTGTTAGGCCAAGTATTATTTTTCTTGCATGATTTTGTGGCTCATTATGACAATCAATCAATGTGCAGTTTTAGATCATATGATCAAAGTATTCTCTTTGCAATAATTAATAATAGGGTCAGCAGTACTTTTATGTTAATATGTCATAGTAGTAACTACTCTACTTCTAAGGAACAGTCAGAGTTTCCCTTTGTATTCTGTGTAAAAAAAATGTTCAGAATATAAAATAGAGATGTGAAACAATAAAAAAATTTTTTTAATTTTTCACAACTGTTTTAGTAAAAGAAAATTAGTACTGGCATGAAAGACCTACAATGTAGATGATGATAGTGAAAAACAATGATGCACACAAAGTGCTAAGATGTCATACGCTAATCAGAGGGCTGTATATTAGCATCTTATAATATTACTTAAGATGATCTTAAAATAAGAATTAATAAATTATGAATACCTTATGTTTTATTTGGATAAATATCTTCTGTCAAACAAAACATCTGCTCAGCTAGCGCGAAAACTCGCACCGTCTAAATTAGCCAATAACATTACCAGCGTCGCTGCCAATACGACAGTAAGCAGTTCCAGCTAGTAATCTTGAAGTAAAAAAGCATCGTGTGTTGCAAGCTTTATTCCTGTTCTAATGTTATATGTTTTTTCCAATTTAACAATTGATTATTGATCTTTCTGTTTTTCTTTAATTACATCTGAATTTCAGTCAACAAGATTGTTGCTGCAGTAGACGTTATCTCCGAAAAAATGAATCTTGATCCTGCATCTACGCGAACAGGATTTCATTGGCCACCATTTAATACCGTTCATCATTTACATTTACATGTTATTTCGCCAATAGAGAAAATGAATGGTATAAGAAAGTTGATGTTCCCCAAACCCAATAACTATTGGTTTGTGAGCGTAAGTATAAAAATTATTAGATTAATACTATGGAAGATAAATTTTTGTTATACGTATTCTCTTTTTGCAGACAGACTATGTGAAATCTCACTTAGAAAATAATAAAAATAGAGCAATATAGTTTTATTTTGTTACTTACCTTCTTGGTACGAATTAGATATTAAAATTTTGTGCAATTTATCACGGAACGTTGGATGTGATTGCGGGTAAAAATATTTATTATATATAGAATATAACAAAGATTATATGTTTATTGAGGATTA